GATTGTAGATCTGTTCAATAAGGGATTACCACCTAAGGTCTTTCATGAACACACTACTTATATGGGTGTTGTACCCCTAGATGATGTGTAGTTTCAGTGGGAGTCTTATACCATAGTTACATTAATTTTGTAAGATATATAATAAATTTTGTACTTTGGTTTTGTTTATATATATATATATATATAGTTTCATTCTAGTTCTATATTTTAGTTTTATTTATATATATTATCTCTAAATTTTCTTACAATTGATTTCACTAAGGTTAAGACAGGACCAGTTGGAAATAGACATGCTTAAATCATATAACATGCAATTTCTATGCTGTGCATTCATGTTTGATCCATGTCGTTCAATTATATTGATATACGTGACTATTGATGAATTTAGCTACATTAACTGTAGCGAAGACCACTCTGATCCTATGTCTTTATGATCAATAGATGAGATTATTTGGTGATGCATTCAAGTATTGATAGTACAGTTCTGAGTACTCATACAGTTATTTAACACATATTTAAGGTGTCACATAAAGCCTAAGTGGGAGATTATTTAATTTTTTCTGACGTGTGGATTTAATGTGGACCTCGGTATGCGTATCAGACTATTAATTTAATGAGCTCCTTCAAAAGTAATTAAATATGGTTAAACAATATTGAACCTTAATGTATCGGGTTTAAGTATGAGATTGTAATGTGCAGATAACATTTTTGTAATATTCTCATTTTATGATTTGCGAAATAGAAATTGCAAATGTTTGTCGATATAAAAAATAGTTATGGTCTTCAAATCACAAGGTTGTTATTTTATTTTTCTAAAATTCCATCACCATAAAAAAACTAGTTTCAAGGCACTGTGTTGATTCGGAAGAACCTACCACCAAACGCAAACAATTCTTCTGCGTTGGATCCAACTACGGTTCCATTTATATATTTTCATTAATTCAGTACGATAATATATGTTTAATTTTTACAGATCTACGGATTGAAAAAGAATTTTTATTCCAACATAAACATCTGCATCAATGTTTGGCTTAATTTGTTGATTAATCACTTTAATCGATAAGCAATGCTCTCATTGTGGTTGTTCATATCGACCACTTTCATATGCAACATTTGCTTCTGCTTTTGAAAGATTGACACGATAATTTCGTTTGATATAGCTAGGTTTTCCACATCAATGACATATCACAGTCACATGACAATTGCACTTTAAGTGCCCCTGCTTTTTGCACCTATAATAACCTTTTGAATTTCCTTCAGACTACTAATATGTTTTAAATTACTTATTATTACCTTTAGATTGAGTGAAGAAGTTATATCTTTATTTTGTCTTTTGTATAAAAAAATATCCTCCACTTGAGAGAGAGATTGTTTGTTGTTACTAGTCATTTGTTTTACCAAAGCTTCTTTATTTGAGAGTAGATTCCCTAAATCAACAATAGAAGGTTGAGTTACCCACGCTTGTATTGAAGAAATAAAGAGCATGAATTATTTCTGTAGTTTACAAATAAAATAATGACACAAACAATCATCATTAATTGCCTCTTTTATGTCTAGCTCTAATATTTCAACATACAAGGTTTTAAGTTTCGAAAAATATTTTGAAATTGAAAAATTATCTTTGGTCATCCCAACAAGTTCATTCTTCAAGTATTGCAGCCTCATTTTGTTTATTTAGATGAACAACCTCTTAAGTGACTTCGACACTTGCTTCAACAACTTCAAATCAAGAACATGTTCGATGTACTCTCTATCGATTAATGTTTGCAAAGCAACCAAAGCTTTGCCACACTTTATCTTCCATTTCTTATAAAATTCAACATTTTGTGGCGTATCATCTGGAATTATAACTTCACCACCAGAGATAAGATCTCACATATTCTGCCATTGTAGATAAGCTTCCATGTATAATTTTCAATAACTATAATTGTTACCAACTAGCTTTTCTATAAAAAATTTGGTAGATATTTTTTTTACTATTCATATTTATTGAGTAATAAAATTTAAAATACTTGATAAACAATCAGACTCTGATACCATAAAACAAAATTCGAATATTAAAGTATATTAAAAAGAACAAATAAAATCAAACCAAAAAGTTTATTATTTAATGAATAACTTAAAACATTTACATTTAAAAGTTTGAAAAATATTAAATACTCAAAAGTTATTAAAAAATCTCAACTAGTTGTACTCCTCAATGAAATGTGAAAATATAAGAGAAACAAATTCTTTACTTTGTTAACAGATTTTCAAGAAGTGTGATATGTAAGTAATTGGATTAAAATTCCAGGTAAATGTGGTTTTAACAAGGAGACACGGACACTTGTTAGTCTTTATCTCTCTATATATTCTATCTTAAATTTCAATAAATGCAGATTTCCAACAATTTACTCCTAATTATCTGCTGCCTATATATAATGTAGTAAACCTGAGCTTGTATTCCATCATTATTCACCTTCTCATCCAGTAATATTCCTTCTCCGTCTAATTGCCTATCATGGAGTCACAGTTCTCGCTTTCCATCATCACCGTCCTCCTCTTATCTTCGTTGGCTTTGGCGGCAGCCAGTAGGCCGAGAAAGAGCGGCGCAGCTCCATGCGATTTCCCCGCAATTTTTAACTTCGGCGATTCTAACTCCGACACCGGCGGTTTGTCTGCCGCATTCGGCCAGGCCGGTCCACCTAGCGGTGAGACCTTCTTCGGACATCCCGCCGGACGATACTCCGATGGCCGTCTCGTCATCGACTTCATCGGTAAGTACGTATGGTCATCTTACATATCATTCTTCTCGTTGATCTCATTGTTAATTAAAATCATAGCGCATTTCTTTTTTCGATTTGCAGCATCATTAGCGGTCATTAATTATATATTTGTATAGGTTTAGATAATCTGAAAAAGAGAGAGAGATTTGGAGAGGAAAATCTAGAAGTGTGGTGTAGAGACATCAGACACGGAGTGGGAATGGCTGAAAAAATCATGTGCAGTGGTTTTGTCTGTTAGTTATTTGGATTTGAATAAAAGCCACCGACGATTGAGTATCCAGACAACAATCGACTGTTTCGTATGCCATTGGGTCCACTTTGCGGATTTCAACGTTAAGCCTAAAAACACGTGCAGACAGGACGAACTTCTCTGTTTAAATTATTGAGATTCAATCCAGAAAAAGAAATTGGAGTATTGGAACATATCCAAATTAATTTCTAGTTTAAGGCTATTTATTAGTATAATAAATCAAATAATTTTGATTAGTTAATATTGGATTTGATTCATAAATTGCGGATATCAAAACGATTTGGTGGATTATGAATGCTGATAATTACGAGGCGTTTTTTATTTTTTTTGCCAAATTATTTGATTATGGATATATAAATGTATGCAGCACAAGGTCTGGGATTGCCGTATTTAAGTGCATTCCTTGACTCTGTTGGGAGCAACTTCAGTCATGGAGCTAACTTTGCCACCGCAGGATCGACAATCAGACCTCAAAACACTACTCTTCGTCAGGGTGGTTTCAGTCCAATTTCCCTTGATGTTCAATTCACTCAGTTCTCCGATTTTCATCGAAGATCCCAATTCGTTCGCTCCCAATCAGGTCTCTAATATATTCCAAAATCAATACCCTAATTAATTATTAGTCCACATTTAACTAACTTTGTTACATATACATAGGTGGTGTCTATGAAAAATTATTGCCGAAGGATGAATACTTTTCACGCGCATTGTACACATTTGATATTGGTCAGAACGATCTTACCGCGGGATACTTCTCCAACATGACAACCGACCAAGTACGAGAATTTATACCGGAAGTGATCGATCAATTTAAGAAGATAGTGAAATATATAAATGATCAAGGAGGGAGATATTTTTGGATACATAATACAGGACCAGTAGGGTGTTTAGCATATGTGATGGATCGTTTACCAATATTGGCACCACAAGTTGACAAAGCTGGATGTGCTTCACCTTTCAACCAAGTGGCTCAGGAATTCAATCGTCAATTGAAAATGGCTGTGACCCAATTAAGAAGAGATTTACCAATGGCTGCAATCACATACGTTGATGTCTACTCAGTCAAGTACTCGTTAATTAGCCAAGCAAGAAAACATGGTATATATAGTTTAACTACTAAATACATGGAATATATGTATATATATTAAAATGATGATGATGATGATGCAGGATTTGAAGAGTCATTGAGAGCTTGCTGTGGTCATGGTGGGAAGTACAATTACAACAGGAACGTGGGGTGTGGAGGGAAGAAGATGGTGAAAGGGAAAGAGGTATTGATAGCAGGATCGTGTAAGGATCCGTCAAAATATATAAACTGGGATGGAGTACATTACACGGAAGCTGGGAATAAATGGGTGTATGATCACATTGTCGATGGCTCCTTTTCTGATCCTCCTCTAGCTTTACACATGGCATGCCATAGGAATTAGTTACCAACTCATGTAACCTTTTCTAAATTATTTTTAATTTTATTACTGGATGCTTTTTTCAAAACTTCCTTCGATTGCTTTACATATGGTGATAAATCTTTATTTATTTATAGAAAAAAAAAAAAAAAGGACAAATAACTATAATAATAGAAAGACGATGAACCCACAAAGCAAAATAATCAACATACATAATAATTTTTCTATGAATACTTGAGATTCGAACATTTCAATCAGAAAAAAAATAAAGATTTGACTTGTCTTTTTAAAAATTATAAGTAAATAAGTATTTAATGTTTTCTACTTAAGTAGATACTACAAGGAAAATGAATTAATTTTTTAACTAATTCGTTAATTACTTTATCTCAAAATAATTTAAAATATTCATAGAAAGACTAATCTCAAAGTTGTTCATGAACTAAATCATCAATTTTTTCATTAATCTTTCAACGGAAGCATCACCTAAATAATCATAAACAAAATCATTGGTGCTAAGTTTGAGATAATAATCTTTAATAAATATGATGATAAGTGATTTGTTAAAATCAAATGTAACTCGTAATCCATTTTGGTTTCAAATCATGTTTTTTTTATAAAAAAAAAAAAAGTTAGAAGTTTTTTAAAAATTCACAATAAAATGTAATCAAATTGTTAACCAAAAATATTTTTTAAATAAAAAAATATTATATATATAAATATCATACTACAGGTTATGTGTATATCATATGTTATATATATATATATATATACAAATTACATACTCTATGGTTGGGTTGAATTATAAATGTTTAAAATATCAATTGAACATTTAATTTAACCCAATTTTTATATCTATTTTTTTCTGCACTAATCACATCCCTGCAAAACTGCCACTATTTACTCTCCCTGTCTATACCTTGTCGACACAATTCACCAACATGACATTAATTTTCTTTTTATTTTTATTTTTACTGCAAACACCACAAAAGAGGAAGAAGAGCATGTCTTCGTAACCTAATTACAGAAACAAATTAACTAAATCTGATGTTCGGATAGAGAAGAAGTTCAGGAAAAAGGAAAGAAGATGATAACTTAGATTGAGAAAATTGAGGAGGAAGGGAAACAAATCGATACATTATATATTAATTTTAAAATTAAATACTAGCAAAAGAAATTAAAATTTATAACATGATCCAAGATTAGTACAGAAACAAAAGCACTGTGGTTAGATTCAATCGCTTTCTCTCTACACTCCAACCCCCCCCTCTTTCTGAAAAAGAGTTTAATTCAGATATGGAATCTCTGTGCTTGAAACATACAGCGTTGTGTGGGGTGCTACTTTCCTTGACATTGTTTACAGCTCCAGCAAACTGTTTAGAGTCTTGCCAATTTCCAGCCATCTTCAACTTCGGTGACTCAAATTCCGATACCGGCGGTCTCTCCGCCGCATTTGGACAAGCACCTCCACCAAACGGCAACACATTTTTCCATGCCCCTGCCGGAAGATATTCCGACGGCCGTCTCGTCATCGATTTCATAGGTACTTCCTTCTGTCATTCTGAGAAAATTTAATCAGGTTTTCAAAAATCATGAGATTGATATTTGATTTCCCAGCTGAAAGCCTAGGATTACCACATTTGAGTGCATATCTGGATTCCTTGGGCTCGAACTTCAGCCATGGAGCCAATTTTGCGACTGCTGGATCAACCGTCAGACCTCCAAACTCTACAATCTCGCAAAGTGGGGCAAGTCCTATTTCATTAGATGTCCAATTCGTTCAATTCTCGGACTTCCACAGAAGGAGTCCATCATTGCTCAAACAGGGTAGCCGTTAATTGATCTCGCAATATCAGTTTATTTATGTTTAGAAATTTGAATTGTTCAATCCACTGCAGGAGGAATTTTTGCCGCATTGTTGCCTAAGGAGGAGTTTTTCTCTCGTGCCATCTACACATTTGACATTGGCCAGAACGATCTCACCGCCGGCTACAAACTCAACATGACCACTGATCAAGTGAAAGCATACGTTCCTGATGTCCTTTCCCAGCTATCCAACGTCATTAGGGTAACCATAAATCTCCCCATTTCTTATATGAAGTCTTATAATCTGTAATTTCTTTTCTTCAAGAATTTATAACCTCTTTGATATTATTTAACTGTAAGTAAAAAAGAGAGTACAAATCAACGTGGCTCAACATTTTACGATTGCATATCTAATTGTTCTAGATTCTAATTGTACTATAGTTTTTAAAGGTGTATTATAATTAAGAGTCCGTTTGGCATAACTTTTGACTGAGATTTTTGCGTTTCAAAAGTTATTTTGAAGTAACAAAACTTCTATTTTTTAAAGTAACTATATTTTTTAAATTATTTTTATTAAATACCAAATAATTTTTGCCTAAAAATACTTTTAATCAACTATTTAGACAGCAAGGTACAGTACTGTAAAACCCAGTTAGTTCTATTATGTCATTAGATTAGTTTCGCTTATGGTGAAGATGTTTGTGATATGCAGTCTGCATATGCACAAGGAGGAAGAACATTTTGGATACACAACACAGGTCCAGTGGGCTGCTTACCATATGTTTTGGACCGATTTCCTGTGACAGCATCCCAAGTGGATAAATACGGATGTGCCACTCCATACAATGAGGTTGCTCAATATTTCAATACTAAATTGAAGGAGACTGTGATTCAACTGGGAAAAGATCTTCCCCTGGCTGCACTCACTTATGTTGATACTTACTCCGTGAAGCGCAACCTTATCACCCAAGCAAAGAAACTTGGTAATATCTGAATTTATTCTCATCACTTATACCTTCATTTGTTCCAAGCATACCCTTCTCTATTTATGTTAAATAGAAAAGATGGAATGTAAATGTTGAACATGATTGAAGTGTTTTTGAAATTTGTGAAATGCAGGGTTTCAGGACCCTCTTGTAGCTTGTTGTGGGCATGGTGGGAAGTACAACTACAACAAGAATTACAAGTGCGGAGTTAAAGTTAAGGTGGATGGTAAAGAAAGAGTGGTGTCAAAATCGTGCAAAGATCCATCAGTTAGGATTAATTGGGACGGAATCCATTTCAGTGAGGCGGCTAATAAGTGGATATTTCAACAAATTGCCAATGGCTCCTTTTCTACTCCACAAATTCCTCTGAAAATGGCCTGCAGAAGACAACATAACTCGCTCACCTGAATTTTATGTCCCTTGTGTAAGTTTTCCCAGAAGGCATGTGACTTTTAGTTTGATTTGTTTATTTTGTTGTTCAAAGCAAATAAAATATAGTGGTTGCCGCCAGTTGTAACCCGCTTCTTCTTTTCAAGTAGGTGTAGAAGGCGAGCATTGCGCCAAAAGGGTTGGCAAGGAGGATGCATTGTGTATTTTTCATTATTAGACTTGTTTGCCAGAGAACAAGTTGATACTGTTTGCCAAATAACGCATTGTTTATTTTTCATTTATAAGGGTTTGTTTTAAAACATAAAATATAATAATTAAAAAATAAAAATAAAACAACCCTTATGCTTTAAAACAAATCCTTATAGACTACATAAATGATTTCAACTTTCTTATAATCAGCTTAGTCAAACCCCTATAACTCCTTTTTCTTTCCTTTGTCTTGCTCTACTTATTTGTAAGGTTTTAACTTCGATAAACTGTCTTGAAGATGAAATGTTCTATTTTCCTCATGAATTTTCTAGGGGTGTAATTTTCAAAAGGTGAATATTTTACAACATCTGCAGTGCAGCATTGATTTCTATGCTTTCGTCTCTGTTCAGCAATGTATGCTCATGATGATCGAACTCCAGTTGTTGACAGAGGGCGAAATGTACTAAAACTCTTTAGTCCAAGGAAAGGAATGAAATGATAAGACCAGAGAAGTGTGCTGAGGAAAAATGAAACTCTCGATCTTGACTGAACTTCCTGCAGAGATAATCAACCCGGTTAGCAATAGGAATCTGGTCTAATTCACTAAACACTTCTTGATGGCACATTTTGAGACCCACCAGTTTGGCATTGAAAAAATTTCTCTATTATGGACCACTCTTTCACTTTGAATTTTTTCTCCATTTTACTAACTTCTAAAAGGAACTTTTCAAAAGCAATCAGAACCTTTTTCACTGTTTTATTGGAATTTCATCATGTCATTCTTGTTTGGTGTTTTGTGTGTTATTGAAACTTTTATTATGCTACACCCAATTGATATCCATCTTCATTACCTTAAAGCTTTTCTACTTTCTTTTCCTATTCATCCTTTATTTATTTACTGTTTTACTTGTTTTAAGCGAAATACTCATTGTGTTCAATTTCTTTTTTGTCTTTACTTCTTTTAAGTCATTAACATAATTTTTATGCATAAATTTGAACTGTAATTCTTATGGTTGAATAAATTCTTTTATAACTTGAATTCTTTTAAAGTCCTGGAACCACACTTTATGGATAAAAAATCTATTGTCAGTAAACCTCTCTTCTTGACATCACCCTGATCAATTGCAAGTTACCTATATATTAACTAAAATCATACTCATTTTGTCAGATTCAGACTCAAACATCCTTTTGCGACATCTTGCTGATCATTTTTTGACACACAAAAAATAGAGAAAATGGATAAAAAATAATATTGGAAATCAACATTATGAACTATAGAGGTATTGAAGAAATTATTGGACGTTTATTAGTGAGTCCAATCTGGCTTGTCCGATCTTGTCCAGTTGTGACCATCTTCCAGCTTTCTCCGGCCCCATCCGTTGCTCACCCATGACCAATCCACTCTCTCTCTCTTCTTCTAATTGATCAGCATCCGTATCCATCACTCATGATGATCTGATTGAAGGATGATGATCATCATGGTGTGATCACAAACCTGCACTTCTGTACCTTGCAATGAACACTTACTCTACTTTCCAAGCATAGAGAAACAAGCAAAACCTGGACGATCCACCTGAATTTTCATCCTCTCCTGCTGCACAATTCACTTCCTGGATTGAAAATGGTGTTGGCATTGAAAGTGATGATGATGGTGGTGATAGTGGAGCTGATGTTGATGAAGAAGATGATAAACTCACTGGCTTGAATATGAACAGACCATGCCGTGGACCAGAACCAAAGAGCCAGTCATGGACATTCCAGTAAACTTCTACTCTAGTTTTGCGCACTTGGATGGACTCATTGCCTCTAAATTTCCATTGAAGGTGCTTAACATGAATGACTAGTTTCCCATCTAATTTTATCTCTAGCTCTGGATCAAACCCATCAGAGTTGTTGTTGTTGTTGATAATCCCACTGCTGTACTGAATTGAGATATCATGAAGCGGCCCTCTCTCTTGGAATTTAACTCCTGTTGAGAATCTTGTCTTACCGAACACATGTTCCCTCCTTGAAACCAAGATTGGTTCAATTAGAGATGGCCTGCACCCTGTTTTTCGAAAGGCATCTTTCTTGAGATCACCAAGAAGCAAAACAACCTCTTCTTCGCAAACAATGGCAACATAGTAATCTGACTTGGGCTCGACTTTGCCATCAAATTTTGCAGCCTTAAGATCCCAAACCACATCAACTTTCCTTCCATCCACTATAAATTGCTTGGACCCTTGTTTTCTCCAGAAGTACCACGGCTTTAGCTCAACCTTGCACTGGTAATGCTCATCTCCATCAGTTGCTTGGACAGAAACAGACAAACCATGGAGCATTAGGTTCTTGCACCATGTAATGGTGATCAAACGGCACTGGCCGGCTAGTTTTGTTTGGTACACAGACATGAATATACTCTGACCTGACCTGGTTATCGTAGTAGCAGCCAGATCATCGGCTTGCCTCTGATCAGTTGATGAAAAGCAAGCAGGTATTGCAGTTGAATCTTGCATGGTACTAGGATACTGTGCAAAGGAATTGATAGAGGGAGATTGGTTTATATAGGATAAGATAAGTATTATTTTTAAATTGGAAACAAGAGGAATATGAAAGAATTGGATCAGGTTCTCACCTCCAAGATCTTCCTCATAGATGCCACCGGAGGTTTTTTTGGCAGCTTATAATCATTGCAGAAAAATTTCCCAATTCCCGAGTTGGCAGTTTCAAGATGTGGAATGGTGGGAACTGCTTAGGAGATTTTTTTTCTTTTCTTTTCTTTATAATGATCAATTATATAGAGGCCTTGCCTTGTAAACTTTACAAAATCTGTTTTCCTTTTTTCTTTCTTCTGTTTTCAACAAACCCACCTTTTCCTTCTTGAAGTGTGATATTTGGCTTCGATGATAGGGCTTTTATCTCCACAAAATTATCCTTTTCTATGCAAGTTAAAAGCAAATAGACCTTTTTTCTTTGGTTTATTCAGCTTTTTAGTCTATAATTAGTGTACCTAACATGAGATGATAAAGATGGAGAGGGTCCGTTCTAACATGTTGTGGGGTTAAAATCATAGAGAATTCTCAATTTTCAGATTTATTTATTTGAACTTACAAGATTGTTCTTCGTTATTTAGCCCTAGATCAGAACCCACTATTTGCCACTGTTGAATTCTTATCAAAACTAACTCCGGACAGATGAGTTGTAAATGATGAGAACTTGTAAATCCCAGATAAGTTGTCAGTGCCACAAGTAAATATGTCAAGTAATACATTACAAATGAAGTGGAAGGAACATCATAATTATTATGGTAGCTATAGAAGAATATTATAGATTTCCTTTTACTCGTCCAAGTGACGGAAGACAAGACTACAATATCCTACTATACAAAATCAGCTGCTGCATCTGAAGTGGTTCAAATCAATTATCATTACAGTGATATCATCCAAGCTACCTCTACTTGCTGCAAGGTTCACAAGCTCTTTACAAGCAGCCATAAGGCCAACAGAAGCAGGGCTCTTCTTGTAGCTGCTGTTTTCATGACAAGGAGACTCATCTCTAATGTTTAAGCGCTTCACTAATGAAATTCTTCGTGAGTTTGATGGTGGGCTTCCATTTTCACTAGGAGAGTCATTGTCACCATCTTTCCATATATCACTTTTCTTATATAGAGATTGACTTACCTCTTTCTGCTGTTTCACTAGCGAAACCCTTCGTAACTTCGATGAAGGACTTATATTTATGCAGCCTGATTTTGATGTCGGGTTTCCATTTTCGCTAGGAAAGTCATCATCACCATCTTTCCAGATATCATTTCTCTTGTATCTTGGAGATTGACTTGCCTCTTTCTGCCGTTTAACTAGTGAAACCCTATGTAACTTTGATGACGGACTTATATTTACACAGGCTGCCTTTGATGTCAGGCTTCTATTTTCACTAGGAAAGTCATCATCACCAACTTTCCAGATATCATTTCTCTTATATCTTGGAGGTTGACTTGCCTCTTCCTGCTGTTTCACTAGTGAAACCCTTCGTAGCTTTGAGGAAGGACTTATATTTACACAGCCATAGTCCTTGCTATTGTCATTATAAATATCTTCAGAGGATTCTAACTTTTTCCTAATTAGTAACTGTGACACGACATCTATAGCTTCTTGATTGCCAACCTGTGCACAAGATAAGATTTTCAGTCAATAATTGAGCAAAAACCACCTGTGGTTATCTGCAGTGAAGTAGGAAATCCAGTATCTATATTCATGTAAATCAGTATTCCTGGAAGTATTGCAAGAACAGAAAAGTATTTCCCTTCTCACCTCTTCCCAAAGTCCATCAGAAGCCAATACAAGAAACTCCATATCTGTAGTCAAATGAAGGATTGTTGTATCAGGCTCACCTAGTACCCAGCTCTTCAGATGAGCATCTCCAATACTTCTTGAAACTGAAAGTACCCCATGAACTCTCCAAGCTCCTCGGTGGATCTCAACATATCCTCCCTGCCCCACGTATCATGTCATCATCACAATAATGCTCCTAACTAGTACCAATTGACTATAAAACAGCAACCAGCTCACCGTATTCTCTATCCTTTTCCTCTCATCCTCCCTTCCTGCTTTATGATCAGTTGTTAGGGCTTCAGCAACTCCTCCTCTACATAAGACTGCCCTGCAATCTCCTAAGTTTGAAACAACAACCTCTTGATCATCTATCAAGGCTGTGACACAACAGACACCACTGACTAGACCCTGCATTTGCTTCCACAAGGTAATTCAGTATTTCAACCAAAACGAATTAAGGAAAAAAGAACAAGAATAATGATCAGACAGATGCAAGTGCATGCCAAGTTAATAGGATTTCTGAACATTGAAAGCAGAATGGATAAAGACTGCGTAAATTTAAACCTGATGCCAACATATAGAAGGATAATATCATCTGCTGAAAATATTGATTATACTCATGGACATCTACCCAGCTTATGCTATCACATTGCGCATGAAACAACAAATGGGGACCAAATTTTTCGGAAAGAATTACAAAAAGCCATAAAAATGGAGCTGACTCTTCCAGAAAAGCAAATTGCATTGCTTTCAATAGCCACCAGTTTTACTTGTATGATTCTGTAGCATGCTAAATCAAGGTCTATGAGGGCAAAGGCAACCAGCCAGCATCAAATTTAGATACATTTCCGTATGAAAAACTTTAAACAAGAACCATTCAGTTCCACACCACCACATATGCTCGGTTCAAACATATAATTTGAAAGGAAAGTTGTAGGTGAAGCTGAAATTTTTTCAGTTCAAAATCTGGAGCAAATCTACGCTTGCTTGCACACCATTCCTTGATTCCCAGACCAGTAGATCAGATTTCCTAACTTTTTTAATTCTCATTTCCTATCGCTGCACCCTACAGCTTAACTGAGTCAAGAATAATAAATGATACCCCGCAAGACACACTCGGCCATGACGAGCAGTTGGCCTTCAACTTGAGTTAAGCTGGTCAAAGTGAGCTACAGAAAGATCCTACGCTAGAGGAAAACAAAATTTGATAGGACTAGGTGAAGAACTAAAATCTGAAGAGCTTCACCTATCATTCCACCAACTCCAAGTAACTTTGCGGGCAACCTTTTATTTGGTGAATGCAGGACTCAACAGCTAAGAAGAAAAAAAACACTAGCAAATGAAGATGTAACAAAATGCAGTTACCTCTTCCAAGAACTCCTGGTCTGTTTTTAAGTATGCGGCTTTAACAGCTGCCTCCTTGTCCTTAGCCCCTCTGCAATCCTTCATCATGTCGAAAATGTTGGTATGCAGATTCTCTGCAACAAACTCTGCTGCCATTCTACCTCCATGACCATCATAAACGCCGAAGAAACCCTATATAGAAGTTTTACTTTTTCAAATACGAAAATGGTAAAGTAAGAAAAAGTCATATGAAATTAGCCCGGATGATTTACTTTGTTTGAGTTGCCGTGTAAACAGGAAATGATCTTGTGGGTATCTTCCATGAACTTCTTCTTGCCTTTTAGGGAGAAGACACCGACACCAGTCCCACTGAAATGAATAGTGTCATTCTGGGACATGAGGTCTCTGAACTTAAGTTGGTCCGTTTGGATTTCTTGTAGGACGTTGGGGATCTCGATCTTGGGCGGTCTCTTTCGCTTCAATGAGTTAGAATTTGGACCTAATGAAAAAAACCGAGAAGAAGAAGAAGAAGAAGAGTGAAAATTTTTAGCGGGTTTGTTATTCTCCATTGGTGGTGAAAGTTGAAGCAGTGAGGAGAGAGCAACGACTATAAATGAAGAAATGGAGGAGGGGAAGTAAAAGAATAGTCAATGGAGTTTAGGGTTTGAGTGACGTCAATAGAAATTCTGCCGTTTAGAGCCGTTAGGGGAAAGTAGAAAGAGTCGTCAAAAGTCAAAACACAAGTTTTGAAGATATATTTGGCGGCCAACCACTTCTTTCAATAAAAAATAATAATAATAATAATAATAAAACTACCAAAAATATTTATTCAAACTAAAATTCAAAAATAATCACAAATATCTCTATAACACTCAAAATGAACCTTTACACCATAGTTGGATCGTTGTAAATTATAAAATTTTAATGTATGATATTCTATGAGTGTGAAAAAAATCATATTTGTTTCAACTTCTAACGATAACAAATAGTATTTTACCAATAAATTTAGGATAAATTTTAAAAATACCGAATTATTGGTATGTGACCGTGTATTACTTTTTTTTTCTTATACTCTCATATAATATATTTAATTTTATTTTTATCACCATAAATTATTATTTATTTTATTAAATATAAAATTTTAATTTAATTATATATAATAATTATTTATTTAAATATAAATATAATTATATTAATAAATTATTTATTTATTTATTTATTACATATTTTTTATATACTATTTAATATTACATATAATAAATAAGAATAAATTAATAATTTGACTGAAAATATAATTATATTATTTTATCATTTAAATAAAAATATTTTATTAACATACATTAATATATAATAATTTAAATATATAAAAAAATTATCATTACTATTTTATATTATTGTTATTTATTGTCATATATTAATTAATTATTATTTAAATAAAATGTTAAAAAATAATTTATTACAAGAGTGTCAAAATAAAAAGCATGGGAAATGGTCCATCTAAAATTGAGTACCAAACAAGAAGTAATCATGAGCCCTAGTTTGAATTAGGAATGACAATAGTATTCCTAATTTTTTGATATTCAAAATGGATAATTTATATTTTGTGCTTTTAATTTTATAGTATTACCTAAACATCGCATTATTTCTAAAATGATAAAAAAATATATATATATATATATATATTTTGCTAAATTATTATACATTTAATCTTCTATCCTTTATTCTACGAAATGAAATTAATTTAAAAATATGAAAATCACATAACTAATAACACAAAACACAATAAAAAGACTATGTAGTCAGCAAAAATTAAATAAATCTTCTTTTTCTGTTAGTAATTTTCTTTTGTTAAAAAAAAAAAATACTTTTTCAACCCATTTTATCTACCTCAACTAAATTTACTTGCGTGTTAGTTGTTTTAAATTATAGATAAATATATTTGAATATTTATAACATATATTATGCAGTCACTAACATACTATATTTGACAATTTGATAAAAATAACATTTTATCATATTACTAATAAAAATGTCATGTTCCTCTAACGATATTAATTTTCTCCATCAAATATAATGGAGCAATATAATTTAATCCATGGTCTATTAAAAGTAAGAAACAATTTGGTAAAATATTTACAAAAAAAAATTATAATCAGTTTAATGACGGAAAATTTTAAAAATTTAAATAATTTGCAGAAATATTATGTACGCCAAAACTGATCGAAATATATATAATAATCAAAATCTAACAAAAATAATCCAAGCAAGTAAAACAAAATGTTGTGTAAAATCATTGCCAGTTTAAATGTGAAACGCCTAAGAAAAAGATACAAACGAGATGAACAATAATCATGGAGAACTACAATCCCCAACCGAGACGCCATGCCAAAAACTGCGTCAACTTGTGACGCTTATCAGAGAGGAAAAGGGCGCTCATGTTATTTTTTGATAAATTATTTAAACTACATGAACCTGACAATAAAGAACAATAGTGCCACGGACTCTTTTCATCCCTCCAATTCAATCAACAAACCATGTGGCCAACTGTCGTGTAATAATTCAGTCTCACAAGGCCAGAGATCAAAAGCCAGTAAGATGGTAACCAATGATAAGAGGAAATCCTCAATGTCAACCTAGATGGTAAAGATTTTTTGTTCAAAAGACTCCAAAACAAAAATAAATTACCATCAGTCTCCTTTCCTCATTCCAAAATGACCTTGGCCCCAAGTGCCTTCATTTTCTCGATAATCCGCTCGCCCTCTTCCTTTGACACTCCCTTCTTCAATACAGCTGCTGTCTTTTCCACCAAATCCTTTGCTTCCTTAAGACCCAAATCTGTGAAACTTCTAACCTCCTTGATGATCTTAATCTTTGAAGATGCCTCATATGACTCCAACTTCAACTCAAAAACAGTCTTCTCCGGTTTCTTCTCCTCCTTTGCAGCTGCAGCTCCCCCTGCCTTTGCTGCCATTCCTGCCAATCCAGCAGCAGCTCCAGGCTTCATAACTCCAACAACAGGAGGCTCAGTCATTCCTCGTTTCTTCATTATAATGGCCCCCAATTCTGCCATTTCAGCCAATGTGAGGGCTGTTATTTCATCTACAAGCCTGAAAACACGCTCTGTAGGAGGACTACGATGCTCTGTTGGATCAAAAGTTGTAGGATCATAATCAGCAGGAAGCCTCCTCTGGTCAAATTCCACTTCCTCCTCTTCTTCTATCTTTGCAGGTTGACTAAAACTGCGTGTCACCCCATTGAATGGGTTCACAAGTAACATTGACGGTTGAAACTGGTTTTTGCATAAAACATTTGGCAAATATTGCCTCAATCTTAAGACTAGATTCATCTTCAAATTCTTGGAATACTCTGTTCTCCTTTGAACAGTCAATCTAAAAAGAGAACATCTTTTTTCCTCTTAAATCCTTGGTTCAATTAATTTTGAATCCACCTGGAATCCATCAATAGCAGAAGATGGGTAACCATATGCACTTGATAAGATTCAAGAAAAAGATAATCAAAAAATTAACACAAACCCACCAAACATAAAACAAAAATCAGAATATAATTCAAACACATAAGTAGGATTTTTACACCATTAATGAACCTAAAAATCTGACCTCACCTTTCCCAGCGAATAAATATTAATTAACAGTTCTCCACTAACTTTCCCTTTAACCAAAAAAAAGAAGTACAAGGACTAGGACTAGGACTAGGAGGAAGGAGAGTAGACAAAAATCTGTAGGGTGGTGCAGAGATAGAGAGAAGTAATGAGGTGCTAGTAACATCAGAAGATGATATGGCGCTCTTACATATAACTCAAGGTATTTAGAAATCAAATGAAAGGTGAACCAATCAGCGTATAGCAAGAAGTCAGTATGTCAATCTCACGAAATTTACAAGTCATCCTAAACATGCATGTAAAATATGCACATGAAAACCACTAAATAATACACAATAGATAACAAATTATCTTATATCAAACAGTCAAACAGCAACCTAGAAAACAAGACCATGGCCAACCGTCACTGAGCAATGAAGAATATGAAAAACCTACAGCTACTGATTGAAGAGAAAAATAAAACCAATTCCAAAGATTAACAATCAGGAACCTCCGCCAACTGTCCTACCCATGCCAAAAGCCCACAGTTTAGTGAATTTGTTTTTGATGAAAAAAGAAGCTTTATTAAGGAAGAGAGGGTATTTATTGGTTATAATATATATCATACTAGTTACACCACATAAATAAAAATCACTTTTAAATCCTTGATTGACTATTGAAGCGCTTAGAAGTTTTTTCAATCTGAATCATCCATCTGTTCATCATGAGACTAGAGACATGAGGTATATTCAACATGCATGTAAAGGATCTAAGTTACCAAAAACACCCTTCAACAAGCAAATGAATCAAGTCTGAATAAATAATTTATTTTCAAAAGAATTCTCGTACCACAAAACAAATACCTACTGCCAAAACTTTTTTTTTTCACGAAGTCCTATTGCCAAAACCTAAATCAGTTCTCAGACCAAAAGAAGCTATTGCCAATAACAGATGAATGCATACTCAAACCTCTCATATGCTTAAACAGAAAGTATTGTTTACGTGGATCAAGCTAGTTTTAGATACGACTTAAAACTAACCCAAAGAGTCCATCAATCATACGTCTAAAGTACTATGGCCATCCTAACTGATTCCAATTCAAACAGCTGAACGTAAAAATTGTTTTTTTAAAAATTACTAGAAATGTTAAATCCTGAACCCTGGCAACGAAATACTTCATATTTAAATAAAATAAATTCAGCAAAAGGAATACTCAGAGATTAGACACAGATAAAAGAGAAAGAAAGGAAAGGAAACTTTCAATTTAAACAGTAAAAACGTATATTGACAATCACTGAATGGTCTTAGTTCAAGACCTAAACTAAGCGTCTCCAAGGGAACAACCTAAAAATTACCTGCGGATGTCGCCTTAGAGAACCGGAGCTGTTGTTAGCCAGATTCGTACGCGAGAAGTAAGGTGGAGAGGAAGACGTGGAGTTGCTTCTTAACCACGGAGCGGGGGAATCCAGCGTGAGAAGGACAGAAAAAAAGATGCCGCTTGATTCTCCACCGTGATGAGAAGACGCCTGCAGAGGATGGCTTCTGCCGGAGATGAACGCTGCTTTTGGAAGAAAAAGCTTCGAGAAGGTCCTGAGTCTGAGTGTCTTTGACAAATACGAGCTGTGGGAGAAGAAAATCTCAAACCTAAGTGAATGCAGTGTAAATATCCCTGCTAAATGAATAAATACCAGAAAGCTTAATCAACTAAATGAACATGAGCGTGTAAACAACAGGGGTGAGATTTTACCCCCTGAAAGACTACACAACTAGTTAGCCCCGGATGCTTCCCGGAGACTGTGGATCCGGCAGGTCTATTTTGCTATGGTTCACAGACTAAGCTATTGGTTTGGTGGAAGCAATTGGATTCAAAGGCAGAGAGCAAAAAGAACGAAATGCACGAAGAATTACTCTCTGAAGTCGGCGGCTCGGAGGGCAGCGGGGGCGGTGTACGGGAAAATGAGATTGTTTTCCTTTTGCCCTCCTGATTTGCGGCTGAGTGTGAGATTTTCCGTGATATGGGCCCAAAGTCCCGGTCCTTTCAACAAATCTCAGCCCATTTATAATCTGTATTTCTATTTTTTTATAAATTACATTATTTATAGTTTTTATGGTACTTTTATCTTAATAGCTATTATAAAGCTTTTTTAAAAGAAAAAAAAAATATTTATATTTAATAAAGTAATTTATTTTATATAAATTTATACATGTCCATTTCCGTTAATGCCACACCGTGTTTTTTTTGGTTAAACGGTGTCGTCTTTATCTGTTTAACTCGCTCTTAAACGGCGTCGTATCGATAAAGGCTGCATACCCTGCACCATAATCTTTACGTTACAGGAACTCGGATTACTCTCTATTTTTTAAAAAAACGGGTTCATTTCGTCCACTAAACTTCAGCACTGGTTCGTTCCTTCCTCTTCGAACTCATATTTCGTACAAATGCTCCTCTCAGTCTCCGCAGTTGCCCCTCAAAGTCCTCCTGTTTCCTATAAGCCTAACCTCCTCCTTTTCCCTATTTACAATAATTGCACTAAAAATCTCCAACCAAAACAATCCAATTCCTCTTTCAAACAACTCAATGCTTCTTCTTCTCTCTCCACCACCAACAATACCAGCGACGTTCTCCATCACGTCACCCGCACGCTCGCCGAAGATGAGCCCCCTGGAGGCGGCGATGCGGCAGCAATGGTGTCCTCAGCCTCTGCGGTTGCATCCGCTATTCGTGGGGCATCGACGTCCCCTGTAGAATTCTTGCAGATGATCGAGAAGAATCCCAAGACCAAACTGGTGCTACCCAGTCCCGACTTTCAACGCCTCTGTCTCGAACAACTCGACTTATTTCGCCGAATTGTCGATCCCGATGCCGTCCTTTCGGTACTTTTCATCTGTTTGCTTGCTGAGAAAACTGAAGGACGTTGAAATGAGAACCTCGATGTTAGTGATTGATCATTCCCATCTTCTAAATTGTGCAGGTTTATGTGCGGCCTGCTGGTAGTTACGTTATGGACCGACTGGAGCTGCGTCGAGTAACTTGTTATCCAGACGTTAACACCACTGATATTATCATTGTAATCGGTAATTTTAGCGTACCCACGGGCTTACGGGCAGCTGAGGCTGCTCTTTCCAGTCAACAAGTATGTTAATGGACTTGGTAAATGCAAATGTGCTTCAATCTTTTAAAATTTCAATTATTCTTAATAGTTTTTGGTTGTGGATCTTGATGTGAATATAGGTTGAAGTGGTGCCGGAGTATAGAGCAGTTGTCTTTCCTATGGTCAAGCACCCGTTTGTTGTAGGGTTCTTGGTCGCTGAGCTACCAGTGACAGGACAGGGAGCTGACAATGAGGGGCGAAACTTCATTAGCTATCCATCCCCGGAGGAAGCCTATGCTTTGCCTCCGAGCTCAGATGTGCTGTCATCGGCGGTCCAGTCTGTTGATATTGAATCGTCGGGACGGAAGTTATTCACAGCTGATCAGAGATCAAATGCAATTAATATATCTCGTTCTCTGGCTATGGCGTATATAATGGATCAGGTAGTCAACATATTCCTTCCATTTCCTTTACTCTTAAATTCAACATGATCCTGCAACATTAACTAAAAGTTATTTTACTACGATGTTGTCAAAAATTTTGTGGTTGTCAGTAATATAACCCGGATTTATGTGAATATCCAACATACCAACGTCTGCTTGGTAGAATAGACTTACCCGGTAATAATTATATGATAGGCCTTTTGTTCTCCTCTAAGTTCTCTTATTTAATTCTTTGACTTTTGTGCTGCCCCAATTTAGAGATTCCAGTTCATATGATTCATGCCAGGAGACAAAGGTGGCTGAAATTGAAGCCTTGGGAGGTGCTGAAAGCAGCTTGTTATCACATAGCAAACGAAAGAAAGTAATACGGGGAAAAAATGAACGAAAGAATTTTAAGAAAATCAGACATTTTACTCCCATCCACCACAACGGAAATGATCTTCTTACCCTTTAAGTGGCAAATATGAAAAATTTTGCTCGGGCTTATTTTGTACTTCATCAAGTATACGGCCTTGTAGTTTCTTAGTTTTTTTTTTTTAGTTTATCTCCTACAAGGATTTCATTGGCATTAGAACTTTCTGCATTGTTTAATTGTTTATACTCTATGGGCAACTTTTCTCTATGCAGCATTTACATCTTCTATAGCCTTAGTTATATGAGATATCCCTTGCTTATTTAATTTATCTGCAGAAAGCAATGTTACTCCAACAATCATCATGGCAAAATAATGTTAGGATGAGTAGCCTGGTCGAGCAGGTAAGATTTCTTATTGAACTAACAGAGCTCTTGGAATTTGCCTTTACTGTCATTGTTTTGATTCCTGTTTGCTACTATTTGTCACAGATCCGTGGTCCTCTCTCTACCATTCGTACTTTAAGTAAAATGCTCTCTGTTCATACAAAGAAAAGTGAGGTCTGTACGCTAGTTGTTAGTGTAAGCTTATTTTTTTTAAGACATTTTTTTATTTCTACTTTTCTTATCACATTCAAGTTTTATGCATTGTAGATTGCACGTGACATCGTTGATGACATTCTTGTGCAAGGGGATCAAATAAAAGGAACTCTTGAAGAGCTCCAGGATGCTGTTCACTTGACAAAGGTTCTCTTTCTCTCTTATTACTTATTTTTAACACTGTAATCTCCACTCCATGTATTTTTTATTTTATTTTTTTTCCTTTCTAAAAAGTCTTTTCCTGTCTGCTCTCCATGATTGACTACAAATTGCATTGCTGGTATACCATCTCCATTGGAAATCTCGTCCAAATTGCTTCTCATGGTTTTTGCATTTCAAATAGTTGAGTTTACATGCTTACTAGCTTGTCAATGTAATAATATGTCTGTAAATTTTCCACCAATTTCCCTCTATTCGATTATTGTAAATTTTCCACCAATTTCCCTCTACTAGATTATGGTAAATTTTCCACCAATTTCCCTCTATTAGATTATTGTTACTTTTTCATTTCAATTAAGATGGACCAACCGTATGTCTAAGATTTCTTAATGACAATCTCTAGGCTAATATATTGCGCTACAACGAAGAAACATTGAAGAAGATGCATGATGCACATCATGAGTCAATGAGATCTCACCTATCAGATACATTTTCAAGGGAAAATTCAAGCAACAACTTGCAAAAGTTTGCCGAACGACTTTCTCTGGGTGCAGGAGAAAAGGATCTAGAAATGCCAATGCCACCTCTGACTTTAGCACCTCTACACAACCATGCAATCAGGTAGGTTTGGGTTAGTGTATTCTGGTCCCACCATCTTGGATAAAGAATAAATATTTACAAATGAAATGATGCTTTAAGTTAGCTCTTATATGATTTGTCATGAATATTCATTTTACAGAGAGTTCTCACTGTTTACAACCAGTCTACAAGCAGCAGATATTAAGTTAAAAGTTACAAATTCTAGTCCCTAGCTAGTTTTTGAGAAAACCCTGTTGCTTGCCTCTGTTTTTGTTATGCCCTAAATGTTTCTTCAACCTATAAGTTGGCATAAATGTCGGGCTATACCTGTTCCTGGCAAGTCCCTTATGTGGCTTCAAGAGTTTAGTATATTAAAAATTTGCAGAAGTCTGGTGCTTTAATTTTCTGGATTCTTTTTATCTCACACAAAAGAAAACAAATATATATATATATATATATATTATTACCATATGATATTATTCTAGAAGGACTACCCACTGCATGAGATTGAAGCAGAATTTCAGAGTTGAGCTTGAAAAAGAAATGCAAGATTTAATCTTCGAAGTGCATTCATATAGCATAAAAGCTTGGCCCTCTCCATGCTAATCTAGCCAATGGGAGCTTGTTCTGATGGCCGGTCATCTTCTTTTTTCTTTTCTTTTTTTAAATAATTCTTCTCCAATATGGTGGCATAAGCTCATACATTCTCTTGAAAGGCTCATACATGCACTTGAAAGCTTAAACTTTGCTCTAATAGTATATATGGCACAAGAGATAATTCACCATTCATTTTGTTTGTTTACTTGAAAATTTAAAATTTCCTGTGCTATAAGATTTTACATTTATGTCAGGAAGACCGTGCAATGTTTCTGATGTGCTGCTAGATATGGTTGAGGCAGTGAGACCTCTCGCTCATAAGCAGCAACGTGTGGTGGAACTATGTGAACTTTCAGGGTCTTTGCAAGTTGCAGTGGAAGAACCTGCTCTGCGTCAGGCTCTGAGCAATTTAATTGAGGGTGCACTGTTGCGTACACATATTGGGGGAAAAATTAATATTGTGTCTACTGGAGCACCAGCTGGTGGTACTCTTGTGGTAATTGACGATGATGGACCTGATATGCACTATATGGTAATGATGGCAATTCTTTGCCCACTCTGCCTTCTGCAGAACTTAGTTCCTTTTTTTCTTTGCGTTCTTTTTTCCTCTTGTTTACATTTTTTTACGTTCTTTTTCCCTGTTGTTTACATTTTTTTAGTATATATTGCCATAACAGGTCTTGTTGATAGATTAAATATGCTTACTTCAGTCTCAGTAGTACTTAGAAATTAGAATATACATACTGTGTGTTCATAAACCTTTCTTATTGACTGTTTTTCAAAAATCAAGCTTTGATTAGGAATAACTAGGAATTTATTTTTGGTGCTTCTGCCCAGACACAAACGCCTACACTCGCACCATTTGGGGCGGAACTCTTCTCTGAAACTGAAAACATGGTCGAGGACAACATGACATGGAACTTTGTTGCTGGGTTGACTGTAGCACGTGAAATATTGGAGAGTTACGGTTGTGTAGTCCGTGTCATATCACCTCGGAGCACAGATGTGGCTCTTGGAGCTGGTGGAACTCGGGTAGAAATCTGGCTTCCTTCTTTTTCTGCTTTATCTGATTCGAGTGAACAAAGTCATGAGGCATAGCCAGGGAGTGTGCGTGCAAACTAGAGATCTTTGCGTTGAGTAGTGAATAAGCACACCTGTGGACAGAAAGACTGACATAAAGGTTAGATACTTGTAGAACTCAGTGCCATTTTATGTATTGATTTTTCCCATGTGAAGGGCATGATGTATACGTCCACTTGATGTCACCCGTGTTTACTTCCTAGCAACATTGTATATAACATAATTGTTAGGGTGTGGTACATATTGTAAAAACGTCAAATCCCATTAATTGTATGTAAAAGGTAGATAAAGGTGAAAGAAATGTTGAGTTGAACAGGTTGCTGTCATTTTTGGTTCAATGTGTTGCCTCTTTTTATGGATGCAATTGCTGATGCAGCAAATATTTAGGGGTTAGATGCAATTTTTGGCTTATGGGAGGGGGAGCATCCAAAAATCCTGTGGGATGACTCCATTTTTGCCTAACTTAGGCCTCATCGCTTCGACTTAGCTTGAAAATGGATTGTTGCTCATCCAACCAACCTTAACCTAACTTAATGAATAATTTGCCTTTCCCCTTCTGTCATGCATCATTTTGTTTTATTTGTTTGTGGTGAAATTGTACAAATTTCTATATTTATAATTGCAGATGTTTTTAATGTAGCAAAAGGAGTATATTTGTTGCCAAACTAAATAGTACAAATTTTAGTGTTTTATGCAAGTCTGTGGGTAAATGGAAGTTGAAAAGTTAAACCAAACGCAGAATCTTGCAGGTTTCGGAGAGGTAAAATGTGAAATTTATGGTATGATGAGACTTATTAGAAGTTATTGACGGCAAAATGGGAAAAATTACTGGAAAAGAAATGTGGAAATTGTTTTTGACAGCAACGTTGGAAAAAAATTACAGGAAACTATGTGAAAATTTGGAGAGGCATCTAGCAACCAGACATGTGAAAGATGTCCGGTTAGATTGCAGAAATTTGCTTCCTTTCAGGGTTTTGGTAATTCGACCAAACTAAACATTAAGTCGAAAATTGGAACTAACAAATAACTTTAAAAAAGTCAAAAGAACAGAGAGATGTGAATTTGAATTGGAAGATGAAAAATAACCACCATGTTTAAAAGGCATTTTTTAGGTTGTGTCCCCGAAAGGAGGAAAGAAAACAAGCAAACAAATGTCGGTTGCCAATTACACGTGGCTTAACCAGCGTCGCACAATTAGTAAATGAGTTTGGGCACATATAAGAAAACCTCCATTCGCTTGTGCATCAAATTAAATAAGATATAAATTTATTGTACATATGGGTCTCAAAGGAGTAGCTGGGTCATATTATCTAAAGAGTTTTCCTCCCAATCCATTAGCCTTTGCCATGACAAGTTAGATTTCAACTTTGTTTATCAGATTTGCTCAGTGCTGATAGACTGGGTTTGTGTTAGCCCGTAAACTATAATTTTGTTATTTGTATTCTTATTATTTTTAGTTTTATTATTACTATTTTATAATTAATTTTGACGCATTTATATTCAGACTCAACTAGGTGTAATTATTAATAAGCCCATATTTAAAACAAATTCAATATCTTTTAAAAGGAAAGACGGTACTTCTTTTTTTTATGAAGGATCACCATACTTAATTTATCTTTTATCAGCTTTTAAATATTTAATTACCATGCATGTTAAAAATTGGTCTAAATAAACTCAATTCCCTAAGACTAAAAAACCAGTAAGTACAGTAAATTAGTATAATCAAGTAAAAAATTTGTAATGCTCAAATTTAATTTAATGAAAATTAAATTAATTTATAATTATATTTTTCTAATTTTTTAATTTTAATTTAGTATAAAAATTAAAAAAAAAAATTGATAGACAATGAAATTGAAAACAACTTTGAAAAAAAAAGGTAAAAATTTATATTCTTGGGATATTTTTGAAAAAAAAAAAATCGAAAACTGATAGTGAAAATGCAATTTAGAAACGTTGTGCCATGTATGATACCCGGTCAGCAGCCCCGACGAACCAGAACGTCGCGGATGGCAATGGATGCTGACGCGGTGCCACGCGGGCGATCTGCATGCCTGTAATCGAACGGCCCAGATCCGTTCCCGCGCGCACAGCGGATTGGATGCGTTCTCTCCCCAAACGTGATCGGACGGTCAGATTTAAATGCAATCAACAGTCCAGATCTACTTTCTATTTAAACACGATCGGACAGTATAGATTACATCGCGATGAACAGTCAAGATTCACTCCCTATTTAATCATGATTGCACGGTTCAGATCAAATGCGATGGACGATTTAGATTAATTGATGACGAATATAAATAGCTCTATTCACACCAAACCTTAATCCTAGTCGCCAGACCCCTCCTGGCAGAAAAGAAGACCCAGTCTCTGCTGCCCGTCGCTGTGCTGGAGCTCTTTCTGACCACCAAAAGAGGTAAAAAAAAAATTACTCAGAATTCAATTTTAAATACCTACATAGCCAAATTAGAGCAAAAGGACTAGTGAATTGGCTAAAGATCGAAAGCAAAGTCCAGTGGCGCTGCCGCAAAGAATTGAAAAAACCGTCTTCGATGAGGCCCTTCCCAATTCCCATTCTGCATAATTTTTTCACTATTTTGATCACCGTTTCCTTCTCTACAGATTGACTAGAGTAAAACACCCAACCGCAAAGTGAGCCAGCGGAACTGCAGCACCGGAGAGCCCTGCTGCGGGTGAGTTTAGATTTTTTAATTTTTTTAGGTCAACTGATGCCCCTTAGCGTGTTTTCTCGTAAGGATTGATGCAAAACCGGTTGAAAATAGCCAATTTGAGGCGGATTGCCGCCACGGGCGGCAGCACCGTCGTTGGAGCGCGGCGTGCCAGAATTCCGGAATTGGCCAAAAAGGGATCCTGACACTATTTTTGAATTTTTTTGATATATTTGTAGATACTTGTAACGTGTTTTAGTTCTCGAAGAAAAATTTAAGAAACCCAGGGACCGCCAATAAGCGTAGTCAGCAATTTAGCTTTTCGGACATCAAATTGAGGAAGAATTTTCCACTCTATTCTCTGTTATGTAATTGAAATCTAATTAACAATAATACGGTAAATTATGAAATCTATAAAATATTCATAATTAATTACAGATCATTAATGGAGGCAGAACCGAAAACTATTCATTATTGATTCTATTGATTTATTTTATGATTTAAATGTATAATAGTATTTGATTGATCGATTTTATAGTTTTGAATGCATGTATTGTTTGTTTTGTATGGTTACGGTTGAATTAGGGAACTGGAGGTTAAAGGTAAATAGAAAATTGTGTGATTAAGTAAATGGATGAAACGACAGCCTCACTGGATATCTTGAGAAATGGTGGACGGACCAGATCAATTGAAAACCCTACCGTGAACGTTGTCTCATACCGGACGGGGTATTGAAGTTTAGTTATTTAGCACCCATACAGGACGAGGTATGGAGACAACTCGTTAATTAATAATGTTAAAGAAAATGGTTCACGCGTAGTGAGAACATCCCTATGAACCCCCATAAATACCAGCAGACTGATGAAAATAAATAGTTGTTGTTTTGGTTAATTGAATATGAAATTATAATATATGCATGTTATCGATTGAATATGAAATCATGATAAATGTTATACTGTTATTTCAATAGTAATTTTTGTAAATCTCGTTACGGTAAGTGAACGATAAATAATTTTATTATCGATAAATGAATTTGTTTAATTAAGTACTAAATTAGTTATTTTTTATTTTTTTATTAATTTTTATTTTTATGTCGGTGAGTAGCGTAATATTCTTATTGAGATAGTATAACTCATTTCTTATTTAGTAATTTCAGATTTAGAGAACTAGAATTTAGAACCCGATCCACAAGAGTGCTATAAGTAGAATGCTATTTTATTTTATTCTCTGTTTATTTCCTTAATTTTTTATATTTTCTTAAAAAAAATAATTTTCGTAGCGCTATTTGACATCTTAAATAGTTCGTGTAAGAAATATAAATTCTAATTAATTATTTCAATTTATTTATTTTTTAAATTTTCGTTACAAAATTTGTGCAGTATCATTAAATTAAATTAAACTTTTGAGGTAATTAATGGCAGTAATTGTGAATGAAACTTATAAAACTAATAGGTGAGCACCACGTGGAGTAGGCAAGGGCGGAAGGACGGCATCGTCCAATTCCATTGAATTCGAAATTTAATGCAACGTGGAGTCAACAAAACCTCCTTATTTGCGCCGAGCAAAGTCAAAGTCAAAGTCAATCTCTCGATTATTATGCTAATAATCTGGATTAGTGTTAATTAACCGCGTCATTTTCGGACGCATTAACAAAACAAACAGTTCTCCGCTTCCCGTTTGTGTTAAACCACACCGTCATAAACAAGATTAAATGAAAATGAAAGTAGCCCGGTTAAGAAGAGTGAATGGAGTTACGTTTCCGTCAAGAGCTGTATTGCGTAGACGGGTGCCAATTCTGTGAGGAAGGAGAGTGTTGACGCTGATAAACATGGGCCCATCCCATCAAATAAGTTAGATCACGACCGTTCATTTACAATGGGTCCCACCCTCCAGACCCAGAGGCATCATGTATGTAGTGTTGATGAGTAACCAAGAAGTAAGAAAAACGTTAATTATTGAAGTAAAAAAAAACAAAAACAAAAGGAGTGAAAAATTTATGTTGCTACCTTTCGTCTTTGGACTTGGATTACCAACAGTAGAGAAACTTCAACTTGGAATAAAACAAACTCTGTTTCACAAAACTTAGAAAATACACTTGTCCTCTGTTTAGAGTTACGCCATGATTAATGGGTGGAAATGAATTTGTTTTTTTTTTTTTTTTAATAAATTAATTCATTTTAATGGCAATAATATAACAAATTTGAACTATTAAACTTAAGTATTAAATTAAAAAATATATATATATATATTTGGAGGTGACCACTAAAAAACAAGTTTCCTTTTTGAAAAGACGGACCCCAATTATACTAATCACATGCTTTAAAATAACTAGTAATGGAAATTACCAAACACGCATCTAATCCACTTTTTAAATCAATATCCTGTTTGCCACGTGTAACAAAACCACCATCGTAGCATATATTCTCTATGCACTACCTTGAAATACTCCAAAACAAAAGTTAAATAATTTAAACTCTCTTTTCATTTCACTCCATCCAAAATATCAACGTATGAAAATACTCCTACATTATTACCCTCAATTACTATTTACCATAATAAAAAATAAATAAATAAATCAATAAAACAAAAAACATATACCTTTCCAATTTATTTATTTTTATTTAATTTTGCAATTTTGGTAATAAATTGGGATCTATCTACTAAATTCAAATTCAAAAAAATTGGGAAGTAAATATCACATTATATTTGATCTTTACTTTTGTTATTAAAATAATTTTGGTGTTATAATTTGTACAAAATATTTATTTATTTATTTATACTTACATAATTCGTAATATTAAGTTTTTCTTCTCATAAAATTCCAAACAAATCGCAAAGCTTATATATTAAGATTTGCAATTCCTTCTCATTTCCCTCCTCTGAAATCGCGCACGCATAATACCAGCCTGATCTTCTAGCTTAACAGAAGGAAGCCTAAAGAAAATTAACCTCAACAAAGTATCTCGCCCGTTTTCTTTCTTTCCTTTTCCCGGGAAATTCCTTGCTGATTCTCTGCTGTTTGTTACGTTTCTGTTTGGAGTTTGATTTCAGAAAAGGCGATCACGAGGTTTTGAAGGGCTTAGAGCTCAAATTTCGTTTCGCTCCAAGTCATTTTCTCGTGATTTACTGCTTCTTCATCTTCCATTTCCCAGATCTTTGCTGCGGGTGCCGGAAATCTTTGATTCAGGTACTACTTTTTCTTCAATCGTTTCGTCTTCAACTACCTACTTATTTAATGTTTGGTTGGACATAAATCATTACTGATCGATACTCTGATGCGAGGCAGAATCTCTCTACTTAGCTGCAGCTGGTTAGCCGTTCTTTAGCTTTGATTTAGTAATTATTTTTAGTGGAGTGCCGAAGCCGTTAGATTTACATTTTGGTTTATCAGTTCGGTTATTTTCTATTTTAAGATTTTGCTAATTTTTTAAGAAACTCTGTCTGCGCCTATCTGCCTATTATCGTCTGCAGTAATTTCAGTTGGTTTTATTTGTAATTGCGGTGACTGTTGAAGTATGACCGGACTTTAAGCGTACTTCATTTGTTAATCCAATATCTTACAGTCTACGGACGTCTAGTTGTTTTTATTCTAGTATTTAAAAGTATGGGGGTCTTTGGATTTTGCTAGTTACTTGGTCAAAAACTGAGCACGTGGTTGCTTGATTGTGGAGATACCAAATGTTGAGAATTCAAACAGGCTGCTTGTTCTGTGTTTGTTGCCTTTTGTCAAAGGGACACATGGTTGCTTCTTCGATGAGTTGCTTATAGGTGGCCACGGCCAACAAGTTGCTTTGTTCATGGTTTCACTCTTAAAACTGTTTGAATACTTGTTAGTTGCTTTATGTGAATCTCGGATTTTCACTTGATTCCTTTCTAAGGTTTTGAAGGTGTGTATTTGAAGGTTTTACTTTCCCCTTTAAATTTTAGCCATGGGGATGAGGGGTTTCCACTTTTCAGTAATTCTCCTTTACTGGTTGCCCTTCAGTCTTAAAATATATTTGTGCCTAGGATGTGATTCAGAAGGTAGAATGGGAATTGAAACAGCATGTAACAGGTTGGGAGAGTGATTATGAATAAATAACCTGTTGAGAGCTAGTATTTTCTTGGCAATAGAACTGAGAGACTCAATCTCAGTAGTTCGTCAATTTCTTATTCTCGTTAGTGTTTTGTTCAGTAGTAGCATATTTGCTCGGTAACTTGCAAGTTCTATTAAGGTAATTATGAGTTTAGGCTGAAATTCTACCTCTGATCACTTAATGCTGCATTATTCTCAGTTCTTCATTGAAATCTAATTTCAGTCACAATTTCACTTAACTGTTCTGATGATTCTTCACCTAATACATGCTGTATATTTGTAAACTGATATCAGTCTTTTATACAATGTTGTGCCACATTAGATTCTGGATCCCCTTTCCATCAGCTTGATCGTAAATCAGCAACTCAAAACCTGTTAAACATTATTCAAAAGCTCGTATCAATATCACTACTCATTCTCTTCCAAATTACAGACAGGAGATTAAGAACAGAATGGGAACCCTTTCACGCAGGTTAAGAATCTATATGGCTTCTGATTGAAGAATATGGTTCTTTTTCTTCAATCTATTTGGAGAAACTTCACCTGAGTTCTTGTTAGATTTTTTAGTAACTTAATCTAATATTTATCATGTTGCTGCATCTCGATTAGTAGGAAACCAAATGAGAGTATGAGGCTTATTGTGACAACATTTGTTGGAATAGTGTTTGGCTTTTTGATAGGAGTTTCTTTCCCAACACTGTCATTAACTAAGGTACACAAACTGAAGTTCTCTCTTTAGCTATACTTATATTATTATCATGTCATTCATTAAATCTATACGATGTTTTAAGTAAGCCAACCTTTTGCTGGTTCTAAATTGTGCAGCTAAATCTGCCAGCCAGCCTTCTTCCTTCCGCTGACCTTTCTTACATTGATGAGAAACGATCCGGCCTCTCAAGTCAAGCAGCTCTGAGTATACAGTCATCTCTGACAAGTAACAATGGCAGCTCATCCACGAATGATACCCTAAAGGCATGCCTAATCTCCTTTGCTTTGGATATTAGTATTAGTAGAATTTCCAAACAATATATGTTTTATGTTGTCAAATATTTGAACTATTGCTGGTCATGTTGTTACTAAGAGTATGTCATCCTACTTTATTTTTAGTGCTTTTAGCATATTGAATAATCATATATTGTTTCAGATTCTTATGCTGATCTAGTTTCTAGGATGGAAATTTTATTGACTAGGAAGGGCACCTAAGAAAATAGGTTGCTGCTGAAAGAAATTTGTTATTGAGACAAGCTGCATCTTCGGGAAAGATGCTGGGTTTAGTTCTATATCAAGTTAATTCTTCTGATGCCATAGTATGTCGATTTGTATATCATTCAGAAGTAAGATATGTAAGCTGCAAAATTGGATTACTTAACTTGATTGAACAACGGAACGGATAGATTTGGTGCTCCAAGGAGCAGCATAGGACCTCTTCTATGTGTCAGACAAAAGCTGTTCTCATGATATTTATCATCGGGCCATTTATATTTCATTTCCTAAAGTAAGGAAGTTGGAAAACAAATTAACTAGTGCAATCTATGATTTTTGTATTACTTTATTTATTTTCTCATAAGAAGTTGAATTGTTAGAGCTGCAGATTTGGGTCCCGTCAAATCCTCGAGGTGCAGAATTACTACCACCAGGTATCGTTAGAGCTCAGTCAGACTTCTATTTTCACAGATTATGGGGCAACCCTAATGAGGTGGGTATCCTTATATTTCCACTTGTATCTGCTTGCAATTTATAGGCATATGTGAAATTATGATTAGGATATGAATTATAAGAAAGGGGCCTTTCTCCTGTAATTTTTAGGTATGAGATGGAACAGTGATCTAGATATGCAGGGAACAGGTTGTTTCATGGGTCTTGACTTTGTATGTTCACATACTAAATTATAATCCATTATTATATTCACCATCTAGAGATGCCTTGATGCATCAAAAAGTTGCTGGTTTTGACTTTTGATGTTGGATATTAGAATGCTGATCTTTGTTCTTGGAGTTGGGTGTTTGATTGAGTTGCATCTTCAGGACTTGTCTGACAGGCCAAAGTATCTTGTCACCTTTACTGTTGGCTACAATCAGAGAAATAACATCGATGCCTGTGTTAAAAAGGTTAGTTCTGATCTCATCCTTTCCTTCTCTTTCTTATTTGTATGTGTGAGTAAATATGTTTCGTAGCAGTTTTCAGGGAACTTTACCATTCTTCTATTTCACTATGATGGGCGAACAACTGAATGGGATGAGTTTGAGTGGTCACAGCGTGCAATTCATGTGAGTGCCAGGAAGCAGACAAAATGGTGAGCAACTACTGCTAGTCTAAGTTCATTGCTTGTAACCTTGAATATTTTCAAGGGTGGATTATTTTAGATAATCATAATTCTTTCTCGAAAATTTATCCAGGTGGTATGCAAAGCGTTTTTTGCATCCTGACATTGTGGCTGCATACGACTACATATTTATCTGGGATGAAGACCTGGGAGTGGAGCACTTTAATGCAGAAGAGTAAGTACTGTAGCTTTCGAACAAGAACCCTCCGTTTTTTTCAACAGAAATTTTATCAGGACCTTTTAATCCAATTTCAGGTACGTTAGACTAGTGAAGAAGCATGGTTTGGAGATTTCGCAGCCTGGCTTGGAACCTAACAAAGGGTTGACATGGCAGATGACTAAGAGAAGAGGAGACCGTGAAGTTCACAAGTAAGACTGACAGGATGATTGTGCCAGAACTCCTAAGAGAATGATAATAATTTATTTTTTATCTAAATTTAATCAGGGTAACAGAGGAGAAACCAGGCTGGTGCTCTGATCCACATCTGCCTCCATGTGCAGCGTATGACACCTTTCCTCAAGCTATTGTTGATGTTATATGCTTTGTTCTTCTAATCTTTCAATGGGAATGGATGATCTCTTAATTGTGTCTTGGTGAATGCAGATTTGTTGAGATTATGGCTCCAGTATTTTCAAGAGATGCATGGCGGTGTGTTTGGCATATGATTCAGGTGTCAAGGGCAATCTAATTGTTGTTGCTCTTCTTCTGTTTTACCTGTACTCATGTTTGTCATAAGCATTCATTCATTGCCAGTGGCACTTAATTGCTTTCCTATGGGAATTGCAGAATGATTTGGTCCATGGGTGGGGTCTTGATTTTGCCATGAGACGATGTGTGGAGGTCAGAGACCCGTTTCTCTTTCGTTTGAATTATTTGTTTCTTGTCTTAAATGTTTTGGTTTATAATTTCTTTTCCTTGATAAAACAGCCTGCCCATGAAAAGATAGGAGTGGTAGACTCTCAATGGATTGTTCATCAAACTGTTCCCTCTCTGGGCAACCAAGTGAGGAGAAATTCTGGCAACCGTTTGTAATTTGTGTTAGCTTTCAATTTTAACTTTACTTGGGAGGAAGTACTTACACTGCACACTCGCTTTTGGCAGGGAGAGGCTCAGAATGGGAAGGCACCATGGCAAGGGGTACTTCATCAACTAATCGTAAATTTTATATTGATAATCAGTACTGGAGATGCACATTGTTGTTTTAGACACGACCGTGCACATATTTTCAAGTGTTTGCTAATATGCATAAATAAATGTAAATTGAAGTTTTTTAGCTAATATTCTTTTCTAATTATTGGTGGCAGGTGAGGGAAAGATGTAAAAAAGAGTGGACTATGTTTCAGGGCAGGATGGCGAATGCGGAAAGAAATTATTTTAAGACAATGGGAGTTGATTCTTCCAACTTTACGGGTCATTAGGAAACAAGTACAACACAGAGCGTGACTGTACACAATCATATGATTACCACAGTGCTTAGGTTTTCAAATATATGTAGAATCCAATATTATAGATGTAACAATTATTTATTATTATTATTATTTTTATCAGTAGTAATATCAATGATAAGGTCTGCTCGTCTTGGTCTTAGAAAAATCTTCTCCGTGTGTAAATTCAGGCTATTGTCTCATACGAGCGCGAATTCCTATTTTTGATTAATTGAGCAGGCGTTGGTGGCTGTAAAAGTGGTATGGTTGTAATGTACGTATGGGCACAGCAGAAGCAAATGCATGGTGGTGAGTACAGGTGACAAGATATATATATGTTTGTGGGAGAATTGATTTCACATGACTTCGTTGCTGGGTGGGTCCTGGATTCTGGTGTCGACTGTGAAGCCAGCTTTGTACTTAAAGCACCTCGAATCTGCTCTGTATCTTCCACGACCACGCCAGAGAAGTCCTGAAATTGCCCTTTTTTTTTTTTTACAGCAAAAGAAAAATCTTGTGTTACTGGGAGTAGATTGCCATCATTCTCACCCCTTCCGCGGGTCATACTGTCACTCGATCTGGATGATAAGGCTCGTTTTATCTGTCTTCTAGTGTCAATAAACACTAGGAGATGTGAATGCTAAAACCCACACAACGTTCCTGTTCTTTCTGTTTGCATATCATGTCGGTCCACCCAAAATGGAAAATCAAAAAAATAATACCAAAGGTCGAATGAATTACTGCATACATTTAATTTGTTTTATGTGTCATCTGTTATTTTGTAAGAAAATTTCCTACGAAAACTGTAAATAAAAGACAAGTCACGGTGAGTTAAATCTCTTTTCCTAACAAGTCTCCTTAGATTTTTTTTTGAAAAAAATGAATTTCACCTTAATTTCTAAAAAAAAAAAAAAAGAATCTCATAGTACAACAAAGTTGGGCCGTATTAGTGGACAATGAAATCCGACCTAGGGAGCAACCAAATCATGACAATATATGATCTGGGACATGCTAAGATTTTAAGCAGTACAAACTGTACACGGAGACAGCATACCAACAGAAACCACCACCACCACATCAGTAGATCTCTCTAATAAAATGGTAAGTATACCTCTACTCTTGACCCTGAAACTTGCCTTCGAAGAATCAAGAACCTTCCCACTTTACTATTCTAACGCAGACTGCAGATGGTGACCCAACACCCACAACACGCCACCTGGATGGACAACGCAAAACTCAAACCAAACGTGGCTCCGCCTTACACTGGAAAAAAAACCCTTATTTTCACCTTATTCTAATCACACTACTGCACCAACCTTACACGTGTTGCCACCTGTAACCGGTGACCTCAACATGGTTAATCCACTGAATCAGGTTTAATACATTGTTGGTTACCATAAGCCCGCTGTATTTATCAAACAGGCCCATGTAAGAACCCCCTCTTGTGCTTGTTATTCCGAAGCAAACTGGTTGCTTCATCATTTTCCTCCCCCTCTCACTTTCTCTTGCTGTTTGGCATAGAGATTAGAAAGGTGAGTGTTCCTGTGTTCGTGGGTTTTCTTTCTTTAATTAAGAAGATGGGGCTGTCGAACTTTCTAGGTGCAGGTGAAGGGGTGCTACCAGTGCTAGTAATGAACACAGTGTTGTCAGTGGCTCTGTTGAAGAACATGGTGAGATCTTTGCTTCAAGTGATGGGCAGTGCAACAAATCTAGAGGAAGACCCAGCCGAGAATCTCTCAAGACACAGAAGAATATCAATAACCCAGTTCAAGTCTTTGTGTCACAACAACAGGGTGGCAACAAGCCGTAACATTGATGGTTGTGATAGCTGCAGGAGTATCTGCAGTATAGCAGAATGTTGCGTTTGTCTGTGTGGATTTGAAGCTGATGAGGAGGTGAGCCAGCTGGGTTGCAAGCATTTCTTCCACAAAAGCTGCCTAGACAAATGGTTTGATAATAAACGCACTACTTGCCCTCTTTGCAGATCAAACGTCTAGATCGTAAGAGTTCGTTAGAGATTGATGGTTCGATTCTAGTTAGGACAAGGATTTTTGGTGTTCTAGTTTTTAGCAGTTTACTTGTTTGTGCCCAGAAACAGAAAAGCCAACCAGTTTGATTTTGAGCAAAAATTAAACAAGACTAAGAGTGACTGTTTATGTATGCTTTATGATGTATACCCTGTAACATTGAATGCCAAGAGGGTATAACATAATAAAGGGATTGAAGTGTTTTCTTACGAAAACATTTGTAAGAGCTGCTATTTTGGGGCCTCTTTAAATTTTTATGAACTTTGATGGGCCCTTATTTTTCTACGACATGATTTGCATCTTTTCCGAAGTATTCCCCTGGAAGCAAATGCCTTTTACAGACCTGCTAGAGATGCCAAAACTTATACTCAGAAGAATATCCGTGGGATTCTGTTCACGGTTTTGAACAAATCAAACCATGCTTTTGCGCACTTGGCTTTTTGTCAGACTCATGTTGGTGTAAATTAAAAAACTAATTATAACCGAACAACACTGTAAACTGCTGATCAAAGCCGCAATCAGAAAACTAACAGAGGCAATAATCTCATTCCGAGAAATTAATGTGAAATTTGCAGGATTGTGAAATCTTACTGGACCCTAATACAGTCTTTCTCTGTTTCTGTAAAAAACAATGAAGAAAGAAAGAGAAAAAGAAAAGTAATTTACATAATAGTATGTTTCATTTATCACTATGTCAATGATTCAATGTATTATCCGAACTGGACATGTCTAGTAGATAAGACTTTTGTTGCTGTATTTGCATTTGGCCATGCTACTAAACTAATTACCAAGGTACTTTGTTATTACAGGGTAACTTATTACAGAAGAAAAAGAAAGGAGCAAAACTTATTCATTACAATATATTATTGTGATCTTAGCTGCAAATAAAATTCTGAGCACACATGAAACTTTATTCTATGTAGCTAATTGAAGAGAAACAAGAAGTATCATGCATGCCGTAACCTGTTACAAAAGCTCAGGCTCTTAACGAGTCATGCTCCTGTTAAACCTCTTATGTTCCAGTTTAATAAAGTTCTCAGCTTCTTCATCTATATCTTCTTCAACCTTCTGACGCCGAAGAAGTGTAGGAGCTCTGTCATAATCTACCACACAAACCCTCTTTTGATCCTCAGAATTGTTGTAGCACTTGATGTAAGTGTTTGGCCAGCTAAGACCCGCAGGGTGCTTGGAATGGTGGTTATGGTTTTCCAGCAACATTTTCTCTTTGGGTTTTTGAGGAATTTATGTTGTGATAAATGTATATGTTGATCGGCTTCATTTTATAGTTTAATGCTAATATTATTTGGTTGAAATGGTAAGAGAGAATCAGATACTCGTAGCTCCTTTATGGTTATGTCATGATCAAGAATATAGTTTAGAGCAGTGGAGAAATCAAAGAGAAATGGGACTGGAATATATAAAGGTTTTATATTCTCTCTTTTACTATATTTTCAAAAATGAAGATTTGAAATATTAGTTGATTGATTCAAAATAGTTTGGTCCAAAAATAACTTGTTGGGAAGTTTTAGTTCAGGGTTTGGTACAGATGCATTAAATATGGAGTCTCCGGTTTGGTAGCTTTAGGCTCTATTCAAAAACACAGAGAAATGGAAAAGCAAAAAAGATATTTCTAATTTTAGTTCAATTAGAATTTGGAGGATTTCTTTATTGATAAAATAAAGCTGCACTTAGTCGCAATTGAAAAACTAGTAGATCACACACACACACATATATATATATATATATATATATTTATATATTCTTCCTGCAAGACATAAATTTTTATTCAAAATTTATATATTTTATTTATTAGTAGATACTTGCACACTATTAATAATATAAAAATATATCAAATATATAACTCATAATTTAAATTACATCTTTATAGAAAATAATAAAAATATCAATTATTTAACTAAAAAATTATGAATAGTGACAAGATAATTAAATTTATTTGATTATCTTAAAAATATACGATGTTTATCTAATAATTATGTGGTATAACTCATTCTTCACAAAAAATTCTATAGAATAATTTTTTATATATTTTGAATTAGTCTTTAAAAATAAATAAATAAATAAAATAGAAAAAAATACTAAAATTCAAATAATTTGATAGATGGTAGGACCAAACAATAATTTACGGGTGATTATATAATTCTTAATTCAGTAAGATCAATAATTTAATTCATTAATGTACTGTAATTATTAAGTTATGTTTAGTTTTTATAAGACATAATATATTTAAAATAATAATTTAAAAAAAAAATATCTCACTTATCATTAATTTTTTCTCCATGAAACCCTTTTTAAAAGTTTAACTTTAATTTTTATCATAACTGAAAACTAGTTCTTTAAATTGAGTGGAAACAGTTTTTATTAAAACATTTGGAATTGATTTTTATAACTTAATCCGGTTTTAGTAACTAATAACTATTATTTAAATGATTAGTTTTTTATTCATAAACTAATTTTAAGTAATTATAAACCACATTTATAAATATACCAAACACTGCCTTGCAATACTATTGATTTACCTTACCCGTCATTCAAATATAATTTTAAATGCGGACCAGTAGACTACTTAACACCAAAATTTACATCTCAACTAATTAATATAAATGAGAAGACCAGATTTTAGCTACGATGTAATGTTAATAAATTCAAAATTAACAGTTATTTCCTGAGACACACCATAAATTTACTTGATGGAGTAAAATTTCATTGTCAATATAATAAATCCATAGTTTGCATCAACTTCCTCTTTCTTTTCTTCTTCTAAATTTCAAGAGAAATTAGGCAAAGATTCCTGACGGACACAGGGTTTGATTCAACCAATTGATTGGTACCCATCACAATCTTTTGTTTCTGCTAAATTCTATGTAAAACATGACAGAATATACACGCCATGATGAACATCTAAAAACCAATAAGATTTATCTTCTACAAGGTAAGGAGCTAAAGCTGAAAATATGTATAAAATAAATCTCGTTTAAACAAAACTTCCCAAACATGGGAAATCATAGGAATCTCCAACTGGTTTTTTGGTGTATTTGGGGAATTATGTAACACCAAATGCTATGGAATACGCACGCACCCTGCAGCAACCTGATCAGTAAATGAAGGGAACAACAACTCCACCAAACTACGCCCAAATCCCAAAAGAACAGAAAAATAATTATATACAAAAATCTCACCCTAAAATTTTCAAGAGATTGTTAAATTCTGCAGAAATCTCCCAAAGAATTGTATCAATTTAGCTGGACAATCCCACTGCTGTTCTCGGCGATACCAAACACATCAATCTTCCTCTTTCGGATCCTTCCTGCCTCACGTGCAGCAGCTCCCAAATGTCCTTTTATAAGAACAAGCATCTCAAGTCACTGAAGAGATAAGATCACCCACTTTCCCTTAAGCAATTTCCAGGCAACAGAAATTTATACTTCTCAGCATTTTCTAGTAGATAAGATGGAAGATGAACAGCTGAGAAGGAATGAGGAATTGGTCCCATCTTCCCGATAATCTCCTTAAATGTGTACTCCTCCGGTAGCATATCAAATAAATCAGCCCCCTTGCAAATTACTCTTTGAACTCTCTTAGGGTTCAAATAGTGAGAGAACCTTACTCTATCATAATGACTGTAAGCTTTCATCTTAAATACAAACTCATTGATATATCGGAAGCAAAAGCTACAGTGCCACCCTGCATCTGCCAAGATGTCATCTGACTGGCGATAGTGTGCATACCTTGTTTTACCCGTCTGATACCTATGCACTGAAGCCCTCCAGCTGTTATTATCAACAAGAAACTCAAAGGAGTATAGGTAGTTCTTCAGCCGAAGATGAAGGATAGGAGGTATGTTGTCACACCATCTCAAGAGATTGATAGTATGTCTGCTTGGTATCTCGTCAACATCGGACATAATCAACAAGTCATCGTCTGTAATACCTGCTATTCTAAGAAGCTGGTCCAGGGCTACTCGCTGATATGCCTCCTCATAAAATGGGTTTTCTCCTTTCCTAAATCTTCCTCCAATAGTCCCATATGTTAACCGAGATTCAATGAACTTGAATTCATCCCGATGGCTAGCAAAAACAAGAGGCTTTGGCAACCCGGTAAAGGTTGAATTTGACTCAAGCAGAACAAATTGTGTTATATACGGGTATAATTCTTTCCACCGAATAGTAAGAATATCCAATTCATTACTGAAAAGCACTGCATCGTAAACACGTCTTGGGTACTCACGGATGCCCCAACCATGGAGTTTGCAGAGATTCTCCATTGACACATTCTCATGATAATAGTGCGGGATATCATGGAATGGTTTAGGTGGTGATTCCCAAAGTGGCCGCAGGAAGTACGAGATTTTCTGCCCATGCAAGTAGATGCCAAAGACACAAGTCGGAACAAGCACAAACAAGAACATATAAGTTTTCAAGTCTACACCACGTAGAATGCAACGAAGTCTTGACATGCTCAAAACACGGCTCGATTCCTGTAAAATTAAGAGTATAAGACTCAAAATTATTCTGAAATAAGGAGGCAAACAAATGCAAAATTACCAGCAAACGAATATAAAATTGCATAGATGTGAAGTTATCGGTGATATGCATCTCTACAGCCAACAAACATCATGATTTACTGGAACATAACTAGAGACAAGTATTGATCACTGGTCATGTTCTTTCAGCATCAACGTAGAAAGTAATCGTTATAAATGTTGCTTCTTTTCTCTAACGTTTCAAAAATTGCACTTTAACCTCTATGGTTTCTCCCTAGAAAACAAGGAAACGGTAAAGTACTTTGGAAACTTGTATGACACACGTTGCGTAGCTTTATAGAAAAAGAAAATGGTTATTTGAGAAAAGCTAACCATAAAAAGTTTATTTATAATTCAACTATATCCAGTTTACCTGTCAAATTTAAGATCACAGCGAATCAAAATCAAAAGAAACAGGATGCCGCATCCAGAACTACTAAAACCAAAATGCATCAACTGCAGTATTCATATTCCCTATCAGGAAAACGCAGAGCTTTTGAGGTAAACATTAACCTCAAGAACGAAGGAAAAGTTACATATTCCAGAAATTCGATCGCTCACAACCTTTCCAGTGAAGCAAAAAAGAATCACAATGGTCGAAAGGAGAAAAAGGTTATTTGGTAGAACCCGGGTCCCAACCCCCGGGATCATATGTCCAATCACATGAAACAAAGTCGAAGAGGTTTAAAAATTCGATTAGATATAACCGCGTTAAGGTTCTGGTCACAATAGAAAACAAGGGAAAAATTTAAGATCTCATCTCTTTTTCTGCATTTTATCAGCCACCAAGACACCACTTCACAAGAAAACTAATTTGTTTCAGAAGAACAAAGCTCGATGAACAGATCAAGCGGATTCCATCGGAAACCCTTCCCCCTCCCCGCAAACACAAAAAAAAAAAAAAAAGCACAATGTTTCTAGAAAGAAATACCTGACCACAAACATCGCCGCAGATATCATCAGTCTTTTTGGAACAGTAGTGACCGCCTCCTTCTCCCATCATCCACCACATTTTTACTCTCCGGAAACGAATCCAACAAACCAACCGAAACCGCTTCAGAGTAGATCGGAGCAAAATGACGAAAATGGCCACCAAGGCACTCTTCAGTCCTCGTCTAAACTCTAATAAAATCGGAAATTTAAACCCGAAAGTGGATCACAAATCCCTCGATCTCCAGCTAATGTTTCTGGTCCAGCCCCTTTACTCCTCTCCTTCAGAAATCAAATCGCTTCTCCTGCTTCCTTTTGCAAAATCACAACTCCGCAGTCTGACGAGAACAGTGACAGATGGCCTATGATCCCACAACATTAACGAAAAATATGGATTTGAGGTGTAAAAGGAAAGAGAGAAAGAAAAGGCTTACTTCCTTCCGAAGAAGGAAGACAATAATATTGATGCAAACTCAAAATAAATAAATAAATA